CCTGATGGGCCACACAAAACACATTTTGCAATTATATTATTTCCTTTCATTCCTTTGAATACAAAAAATGGTTCCAAACCGCTCCAAGGTAAACATTCCACTGAGAAAAAAAAAATTACATTGCTTTATCCATAACCAATATTATTGTTATATAGACCTAAATTACTCATACTAGTTTATTACACAAATAAATACTAACAACATATTTTAGTAGTAATAAAACTTACCATTAACTAAAGGATCTGGTGTAAAATCTGTTGTACTATTTTTGGAGCTGATCACTGAATCAGACACTGACACTGATTCTAAAGATTGTTTAGACATATCTAATGAATCTAAAACTGACGGACATCCTTTATCAGAAGAATCATGATCATGAGGTTGTATTGGTTGTCGAATAAATTTTTCGAGAATAGACCTTTCCCTACTATTTCCAGATCCAGACGACATTATAATTTTCAAGACACACACACTAAAAAAAATAACATCGTTATCTTTTTATTTACTTTAAATTAAACTAATTACTAAGTTCTAAAATCAAATAATACTTAAGGGCTTTGGTGAAATGTGACGTTACAACTTTATATTAGTAGGTAATTGGTGCTAGGGCTCGAATGTTTATGATATTACCCATATGTTTTTTTTTCTATTTATCCAATTAATGCTTACCTAGGCACACATTTTATTAATTGTCTACTGAAACAAAATACTATTTTTATTTTGCATATTGTTGCATATTTAATGGTTTTTTTTAAAAATGCACATTTCAAATTTCAATATTGTCAGTAATCTTTTTTAGGTATTTTACATAAAATGTTTATCTAGGTATAATATTGTAATTATTAAACTAGGTACCTGTACAATATTCTCGTGTTAGGATTGTTTGAAATATTTTTAGATTTTTTTTTAGTAATTTGTGGATGAAAATTAATATTTTATGATTTTTAAATTTGTAATACATATTTGATTGCATAAGTAGTAGGTACCCATACCTATTTCGTAATGTTTTAGTTCATAAATATAAAATAGGTAAATGTATACAATATAATATTAAAGTAATTTTAACTTTTAAGTTCATAAACATCCTAGTCCAAGTAGGCAATTTAGCAATTAGGTAGGTAGCAATTACCTACCAATCATTAATCAATAAACTTTTTAACTTATAAAATAAGAATAGGTAAAACTGGTAAAAGTAATTAAACAACACTTACATTTTACTGACTGCCGACCGGTCACTGGTATTCAACACAATATTCACAATATACAGTATTCAAATCAAAATCAAATTCATAGTAACGGTAACGGTAACGCTTATGGCTTATCTAAAAGTACCTATTGGAGTCCACGGACTTAAACAGTCCGTGATATTAAATTATTAACAGCAGGCAATCTGGCAACTATAACAACTACATGGCATGACAACTTTTGTCACCGAGACCAAATATGTTACGTAATACCTAATATTAAATTAAATTATTATGTAATATGTGATAATGTCTACATACAACATAGATTATAGAAATAACAAATAAGTTATAATCATTCAGAAAATACCAAAATCTATTTATATCTTTAACACATAATATTATTATTATGACGATAATATTCTACCGGCATCAATGAGATAAGCCGATAATAAATTAAATAATATTTAATACAACACATATTAGTGTTGTTTAGCGCGACCGCTAGGAGGTTAATTATTATTAATATTATCATTGATTATAAATACTAATTACTATAGTACTTTACTAAAATTTAAAATGTGTTTTAAAATTTCAAGGAACTGTGTTTTTCGTTCACGTTCCTCAAAATAAAGAATTCGTTCATTTTCTTATTCCTTTATTTTTAAAGGAAGCAGTTCCAAGCTTCGTTCCTACAAAAAGAACTCGTTCCAGGAATCCGTTCCTTTTGGAACGAGTTCCTTCTCAACACTGCTATTATCATACTATAGGCCTGTTGCATCACTACTGCACATTTATGTCTTAGAACACGAGTATAGAAGTAAGTGCTCTCTTAACTTAAATTACATTCGGTCGGCGGTTGGACTATACGTACTAGCTGTCACGAATGTAGGGATTCCAAGAGCTATATTAGAATATAAGTATGGAAGTAAGTGCTCTATTAACTTAAATTACATTCGGTCGGCGGTTGGACTATACGTACTAGCTGTCACGAATGTAGGGATTCTAAGAGCTATATTAGAATATAAGTATAGAAGTAAGTGCTCTATTAACTTAAATTACATTCGGTCGGCGGTTGGACTATATGTACTAGCTGTCACGAATGTAGGAATTATAAGAGCTGTATTTAGAATACAAATATAGAAGTAAGTGCTCAATTAACTTAAATTACATTCGGTCGGCGGTTGGACTATACGTACTAGCTGTCACGAATGTAGGAATTCTAAGAGCTGTGTTCAAGATATAAATGTGTAATAACAAATATTCAACACTTTAAGTTACATTCGGTTAGTGGAGAGAGTATACGTACTCCTGTTACGAATGTAAGGATTTTGAGAATATATATGGTGACGGTCACAGGTAGAAATTGTATACGAAATCCTACAGATCACATAAAATAATATACATATATTGTCATCGTGATATCGACTGTCGAACACGACCCCGAGGAACTACAAACCACTTAAAAGAAAACCAGCTACAGTGTGGTAAGTGTTTAAATGTTTATATAATAAAAGTAGGTAATTCAAATATCATTAGACAGTTAGGTACAACACAGTAGTAGGGAGATCATATGCGGAAATCTCCAATATTTATTATAACACACATATCTCTCCCCTATAACCATTACCTTCCCCTACCGCATATTCTCCCCTATACAACTAATTTGTCCCCCGTGTATTTTCTCCTTACTACATTACATTGGAGTAATATAATAACAATAAACATATTTTTATCAACCAAAAATCCAACAGTTACACTTTTCTTGCTAAGAGGTCGTATATCGATTACTGATATGAAACAACAATTGGAATCATATTGTACTGCGACGTGTTTTTTTTTGATATAGTCGATTTTTTTATTTAAATGTAAAAAAATGTTTGAACTTCAAAAAACGTGAAATAGAATAACGGATGATCGTTACAACACACATATTTGAAAACTGAGTATATTACTTGAATCCTGTATTATTATATACTAAACTTATTTGACTGATATCGATATAAAAAACTAAAGTGACCATGAAACCAAATCAGATAACGCGTAGAGAGGGGATACTTACTTGAACCGTTGAACCTGTAACTTGAATTTTAAACCTACCTACTATATTGAATTACAACTTGACGCGTTATCCGACTCGACTACAAGTCAACGAGAAATAAAATCAATTATTAACGCATTTAAGTTGATAATACAATATTTATTTATAAATGATTACAAATTATTAAAATATAATTAATTTAAACAAGTAAACTAGTAAATGATAACATATTATGATTTAGACTGATTACAATCACAAACATGTGTAGATTTTACATATTCGTTTTTTACATTTTCTATAAATTCATTACCCTTACAAAGTAAAACAAATATACATTTAGGATTCCATTTTGCATGTTCAACAAACGGAATGTCATCTTTAGTCCATTTTTGTAACACCAGTCCGCAACAAAAACATTCGACTATGTCAGCAGTTCCTGAATACTTAAATCCAGCCTCAGATAACGAATATTTATTTTGACATAAAGTAGATGGAAATGAATTATACGTTTTTAATCTCGATAAAAATGCAGTAAAATCTGAATGTACTGGATACGAATTATTTCTAACTAAATAAACCAATGAAGGAAAATCGTTAGAAAACTTCTGTAAATTCATGGTTTTTTAATAAAACTTAAAATAGTTGGTTGAAAAAAATCGATTCAATAAGATAATGCACTGAAAAAAAAAAATAACACAACTTGATTGTACGACGGCTCGATAGTAACTGACTAAATTTTTTAAATAAAATATTGTTTGACAAATTAAAATTATTTTCTCTAGTAAATTTTAGGTAGATTGGTTTCACTGTAAGGCATACATTCCTCCTTGCTCTTTTTTCATCTCCCCGTAAAAATTAACTCAGTACCGTCAACCATACTTTTTAGAATTTTTACCTATACGGCGATCGAATGTGCTGCAAGCGGGACTTTCCTACTTCAACTTTTTTTTTTCCCTGTAAAAATTAACTCAGAAGCCCCAACCATACTTTTAGAATTTTTACCTATACGGTGATCGAATGTGCTGCAAGTGGGACTTTCCCACTTGAACTTTTATTTTTCCCTGTAAAAATTAACTCAGAAGCCCCAAATTCATACTACTTTTTGTTTCAGCTTTTTAAAATACCTAGACCAAATACCAATAAATTATACATATGACATATTTTTTTTTATTTTTTTTTTCATTTTTTAAATCTTCAATAATTATTATATTATATCAACATTAACTACATACATATATACTACATACAATATATAATATCTAATATTGTTATACACTGTCGTTAAATGTTTTCAATTATTTTTTGTATAAAATAGGTACGCAGGTACCTATATATTATTATTAGTGTTATTGAAAGTTTTATAAATACATTTTATGAAGAATAAACTTTTGTTTTGTTTATCTAATTATCTCTTTCTATTGTTGAGGTGGTATCGGTCTGTATATGTTCTGAACAAAAACTACCATATAAACACATAAACATTTCATATACAGGTAATATGCAATTGTAAAGAAAAACGATCGTAAATTGAAAAAAATGTTTATCGACGTAAAAAAATCTGTGTAACAACGAAATTTGTTAGAAAAAAGTTAACTATAGTTAGTTTTTTTTTTCTATAAATATCAATAAAGTTTTATCCGTTGGGCCAAAAAGTGTAAAAATTTAATACAAGGCTCCTGATATATTGTTTCAATAGCAATTGAAAAATATCAAAAATCCATAGGCACAAATTTTTTTAATTAGCATATGAAACTAAAAGAACAGACAAGGAAAGAATGAAAAATGAAAATCAAATTTTAGTTGTAGCATTTGATCTTCAGCAATGTTTACCAACCCCGTGGCTTGAAACTTCAATCGCGTTTTATAAAAGACAACTGTGGACATTTAACCTTACTGTCCATAATATGAAAAATGGTCAAGCAACATGCTATGTTTGGGATGAGTCAAAGTCTAAAAGAGGTGCAAATGAAATAGGATCAAACATATTTCATTATTTAATAAACCTACCATCTGAAATCACACATGTGATTCTATACAGTGATTCTTGCAAGCCTGGGCAAGTTAATGAAAATGTTTAACTGAGTTAAGTTAAGTTAATGGAAAACATTTTAAAAAGTTTAAAGTTAACAGTTAACCTAATTTTTTTTTTAACTCAGTTAAGTTAAATGTTATATGAACATTTTCAATTAACTTATTAACTTAAGTTAAGTTAAGTTAATTTTTTTTTTTCATAATACAGTAAAACTTCCGTAAACGGTCACCTCTATGTAATGGTCAATTTTTTTGGTCCCGTCGAGTGTTATCCTACATCTGTAGGACGGTCACCTCTAAATAGCGGTCATTATTTACAGACCCTTTGGTGACCGTTACATGGAAGTTCTACTGTATCTATATAAACACCCAGTAATATGGTTTAAAATAATAAAAATCATAAATATTATTGAACACATGAAATAGCCAATAGCTTTTCTATACATAGGTAGGTACTGAATTAATAGAATAATTCTACCTACCCATAATTATTATATAGTAGGTACACAATTCACACAAATCACTGAAACGTGGTATTGTAAATCCGAAATCGTGTGTTGCGTGCTGATAGAGCCGAGAACGAAAAGTGAACCCATGTGGGCTATGAATATTTTGTCTACTGACAATATTGACTGTTTATAAATATAAACATTTGAAATATAAATGTACATGGGCACAACCCAATTAGTTTTAATTTAAAAATAACCTATTTATGCCGAAAATATTTTACATTATGTTCTTCAGAATTGTACATTTTTGATTTGTATCTATATCAAAATAATAAGATAATAGGTTTATCATATTACTTATTACTTATTAGTTATTAGTTATTAGTATTTATTAATTATTATTATTACAATATGCCCGTGTGCCGCTGTATGGTACGGTATATCCTTATAGATACGATACACCTCTATGTTATAATATAATTGGCTAATGGCTATTGCATATTGCTATATCTATATGTATTTAATCGAGTTATTTTTTTTGAAGAATTCTGGTTAACGGAACGAGAAATTAATTTAACTATATTTGTAATTTCCTATTCTAATAAATGGTTATGTAATATCAATAATAATTTTTTTTTATTATATTTATTATTTAATTATTTATAAATTAACTTAACTTGAATTTGATTAAAAGTAACTCGTTATTTATTAAGTTTATATCAATTAAAATCAGTTAAGTTAAAAATTAAGTTAATGAAAATTAAATTTCAAAAAGTTAAGTTAAAAGTTAAAATTAACTTAACTTTTAACTTTTTAACGCGTTTATGCCCAGGCTTGGATTCTTGTCCTGGACAAAATAAAAATAGCATATTTTTAGCTATGTTTATATTTGCATTATACCATTCAAATTCCATTCAAGTCTTAGAACACAAATTTTTAGTCCCTGGTCACACCCGCATGGAGTGTGACTCAGATCATGCTCAAATTGAAAAAGAAAGGAGTACTTTGATTCACCTATTTATCATCCCCATGATTGGGCTCAGCTCATAAGAATGACAGGAAACAAAAGACCATTTAAAGTAATAGAAATGGAAAGAGAAGATTTCAAAGACTTTGGAAATGTTTACAAATCAAAAACATTGATGATGAAAAAAAGAAATGAAAATGGAGATAAAATTGTGTGGAGATCAATTAAATGGTTTAAATTTGAGAAAAAAGACCCATATAAAGTATATTATAAAAACACTTTAGCTGTTGATGAAAACTTCCATGTGATAAATATGACAAAACCAGTTTCCCGTCGAGCAACAGAGAATACAACAACACTTGAGAACTTAATAATTCCTCTTTGTAATGAAAATCCTCCCAACATTTCAGTAGAAAAAAAGAAAGACTTACTATCTTTATTAAAACATATACCTTCAGTTTATCATTCATATTATACTACTTATTCTCCTTCTTGAATACAACGATTACATGAACTAAAGCCTGAGTGACCTTTGTTTTTAAGCTTCATAGACAAAATCGTGCATAAATTGGTTGCTATCTGTAGGTTTCTCATTTCCCCAATATATTCCAATGGGGAAGACATCATTATTGTATGGAAAAAAATATGCTAATATAGGCCAAAATGAACTAGAACTACTCTTTGTTAACGGAAGTCCATCTATTCCTTTGTTTAACATTATTGTATCAGCACCAGTACAATGCTCGGGAAATCTTTTAATGCCTGCCTCAATTCCAAAGTGATAATAAATACCAGGATTAACATGTTTTACACCAACAACTTTAGAGGAGCCAGAACCAAGCAAAGTCCTGCAATCCATTGGAAGAGTCTTTTCAAAACATTTATGTTCCTTAAGAATTTTTAATAATGAAGTAAATGCGTTTTGACATAATATACCAAAATATACTGACCATTCTAACAAGTTTTTGGATATTAATTCAGGCTCAGAAAAATTTTTGGATTCGTATTGTTCTGTTGATGAAGAAGAATTTAATTCAATACTGGTAGACTATATTTGAACTTAAAAACATAAAATTAATTATATAGTTACATTAATATCTATATAATTATAATAATTATTAGTTTATTTAACTAAAAAATTTAACAGAAAGATAGGTGGTAAAACGTATCATATATTATATTATAATATTTTGAAAAGAATTTTCAAATTTAATAATTGCTGGAACTATCTTACAAACTCGGTTAACATTAAATAAATAGTATTATATGGTTTAAATTAAACTAATAGTTATGTTATATAATGATTTAAAATATGAATAGGTGCAATTATTGTTTTAATAAACAGGTAGTATTATTATATATTTAATTGACTATATAAATAATTAATTATGTAACCATAATAACTGTAAAACCATCTACCTACTCTCCAAAATTATAGTTAGTTAGGTACTATATAGGTACATTATTTGATACAAAACAAAGTAGGTAACTCCATTAATCATCATATTTAACTTGGATAGGTATCCTAATTGGAAAAGATATAAAAAATGAGCTATTTTATTGAATGTGCACAATAGTAATACATTATTATATTGCTATTATTATTATTCTTCAAATTTAGACAAATATTTTATTCCCTAATTTGATCTAACACACATCACTATGGTCATAATATAATGAAAGTCCAATATAATTTTGGTATATTTTTTACTAAATCGCTGTTTATAAAAATGAATAGTTCTCATGTTATAATAAAAACTTGAAACATGAAACAGTAATAGCAGGTTTTAAAAAATTATCAGTAAAACCATTAAAAAATGTATCACTGTTTATTATACCTATGTACATGTGTATGGTTAAATTTGGCAACGTTGAATTAGAATCCCTTATCGGCGTTAACAACCCGAAGACGTTTAATAGACAAACGTGAATGCAAATAATATAATAATAAATGTTTAAATTACCCCCTCTCATACTTTATTATAGTTCATCTTATTATACGGATAAATTATATTGTCATGATGGTGCCGCCGCGGCATTGGTAATTTGTATTCCGCTACATTTTAGTATTTTACCGCTACCAATACCAAATACCAATTACCAATATTTGTATTGACCTGCAGGCTGCAATAACGCAGCAGCTACCGCCGCCGGTCGAATTATTATTTTAATTACGACTATTAACGCTATCTATTGTCAATAAACGAACTAAAATTTAGCGCAACGCAAAATCACGACCAGTGAGCAATCTATACTATGTATAATCAATGCTAATAGGTACATACATAATATCCTGGACATTTTAGATAATTAACATTATCCATTAGGTATCATATTTTTCCTAACAATTAAACTAGGTAAGGTAATTACTTACCTATTTAATTTACTTTACCAGGCAGACTTGATCTGGATAAAATATAAATGGCTTTCAGTTTACCTACTACAGTACTACCATATTACAGTTATTACTATAATAGTATTTATAACCAATGCTATAACTATTACCTATACAATATTATAATATATATTTATTATTTAAACATTTTTTTTTTTTGTAAATTCAAAAAAAATATTGATTGATTTATTTATTTTAATTTTAGTTTAATAAAACAGTACTTATTGTTTTGGTACTATAAGTACTATTTATTGTTCAGATAAAGTAAAGTATACCTATTATATTACCTAAATATAGTAATTTAATATACATAGTTTATATGTATTATGTATATTAGACAAATTAGGAGGTGATATTTGATATAATATTATGTCTAGATTCTCTATTAGTAAATCTACTAAGCGCCGTAGGTTCTTGGAGGAATTAGAAGTTGATTTGGACAGATCAGCTGAGTTACAACTTCCTAGCACATCTAGAATTGATTGTGATACACATCATACTATTCAGTGGCGTGGTGAACAGTAATTTCAGAGGCAATCGCCTCTGAGATTTTTCTTAAATAGAGGGGTGGGTGGTAGCCAGTGGGTCCCCTAGTAAATGCAATTTGATAAACTCATTAGGTTGTCAATAATGATCTGAAATATAATTAGTCATATTATTTTAATACATTATTATGCATTATTACTTGGGATATTTGCAACTTGCCTCTGGAAAATGTTAATTTCACCACGCCACTGATACTATTGATAATATTAGCAAGTAGCAACTCATTTGAGCCTATAACAACCCCTAACACTAATAGCACTGTAAACTGTAGTACAATAGATGAAACAATTTATGATAGTCAATTACCTGTTATTTCATATTTTGATAAAAATATTATAAACATTCCTATAACTGATAAAGATGATGAATTTAAATTAAGTTCAGATACCGATAGTGACGAAGAGTCTAATCAATACCCATTTTTTAATTATGATAATAAACAATTTATGCTTAATTTAATAGCACAATGGGCAGTAACTCATAACATTAGTAATACTGCCCTTTCTGCATTATTGAAATGTTTAAAATCCCATCAATGTTTTCATAATTTTCCTATAGATGCCAGAACTATTTTAAAACCCAATTTACCTTCTGATTCAGTGGTAATTCAATCTATTTCTCCCGGCGTTCATCATCATTTCGGTCTTGCTAATGGCTTAAATTCCTTAGGAAATATATTAAACTATACTGGAGAAACAATTAAAATATTAATAGGTATTGACGGTCTACCTCTTACCAAAAGCTCTAATAGTACATTTTGGCCCATTCTTGGATGTGTGAGGTATGTGTCTTTATTGGGGGAAAGATAAGCCTAAGGAGAGTAATATATTTTTAAAGGACATGGTAAATGAACTTATTGATTTATCGAAAAATGGTTTCATGACAGAGTTTGGCAAAAAGTATGTTGTTGTCAATGGGTTTTTCTGTGACGCTCCGGCTAAGAGTTACATACTGAAAACCAAAGGCCATACAGGTTTTTTTTCCTGTTCAAGGTGTAGTACTGAGGGACTCTATTTTGATAATAGGGTATGTTTCCCGAAAATTGAATTTACCAAAAGAACTCATTCAGACTTTTTGAATCGTATAAATGATGATTATCATGTTACTAGTTCTACAACAATAATAACTGAAATTCCGAATTTAGACATAATTTATAACTTTCCATTAGACTATATGCATCTTATATGCTTGGGAGTAATGAAAAAATTAATTTTATTATGGTTAGGTAGTATTAAAAAAGCACCTCTGTCAATACGGTTACATAGTAAAAAAGTACAAACTATTTCCAATCATCTTTGATTATTCAAACCATCGATAACTTCAGATTTTACTAGATCTCCAAGGGGGCTGAATGAAGTACTTAGGTGGAAAGCCACAGAATATAGATTATTTCTTTTGTACACTGGACCCATTTAGCATACCTTTTACAAGGTATGATTAGTGGGGATTGTTATTCTCATTTTATTTGTTTACATGTATGTATTAGAATTCTATAAACACCAGATATTGAAAGTGAGTTGTTAAATTTTTGTGAAAAAGTATTAGCATATTTTGTTGATAAATTTGGAAAATTATATGGAAAACAGTTTATTTCACACAATGTACATGGGCTATTACATATGACAGATGATTATAATTTATAAACAATATGGAGCCCTTGATCAATGTTCATGTTTTCCGTTTGAAAACTATTTACAGTTTTTAAAAAAGAATGGTTCGAAAATTTGAAAAACCATTGGAGCCGGTTGTAAATCGATACCATGAATTTTTGGCATTTTCTAATCATTATAAAGACTTTCTAAAGAATAAATCAGTTTTGGAATTTAAAAGGCTTCATAACAAGGGCCCTCTAATTAATGATTTAAGTGGGCAACAATATGAATGTATTGTAATAAATGATTTTAAAATTAATATAAAATCCATTGCTGACTGTTTTATTGGTTTTATTAAAGATGGACAATTTAATATTTGTAAAGTTGAAAATATTTGTACGAATAATAATGAAAAAGTATTTATTGTGAAGTTTTTTAATAAAATAGAACCATTTTTTGATAAACCAATTAACAGTATTAAATTGCATATTGCTATTGTAAATAATTTATCAGACAATCTAACTTTTATAAATATTGAAATCTCAAGCATTATCAAATACATGATTTTAAATAATGCTCATAATAATACACTAATTATCCTATATTACATTCAAATAATTAAAAATTTCAATAGCACTAGAAATTTAATTTATACAATTATAACTTCATTAAACTTAGGTATATTTGTTGGTAATTCATATTATTTTAATTTTAATTGTTTGCAATGATGATAGCTATCTGCTGTTACTAATAATAGGTAATCTTTATTATTATAACATACATCTTTATTATTATACTACATATATAATATTATAATTTACTAGCTGCCCGATCTTCCTCCGGAAGAAATTATTTTTTTATAATTTAATTTAAAAAACATAAGCCTATTTTTTGGCTATACAAATAATACAATATAATTACATATTGTAGTTATTGTTATTGCTAATTTCTGAAAATTATATTTCCTACATTTAGAATTCAACCACTGGAGTGGTACATTTTATTCTTTTTATTATAGAATAGAGATAAGGCAGAAAAAAATGTAACAATAAATTATTTGTTCAATGTATAATATATATATTTCAAATGGAAAAATGCAAGTGCAAACAAATAAATAATTAATAATCATAATAACAATAATAAATACAGTGTGATTCCTTTTAAAGGTAACACTAAATAATTCTGTCCAGTGACATCGGATTAATATGCGGTTTTCGGGAGGGGATAGGGAATATATAAATACAAATTTCTTGATGATTTTTACATTTTTCGATCTTTCCAGGTTTAGTAATTCAGCACTTATTTTATCATCGACATCATTTGGTCTAATTTTATCAACTAACCAAACCAGTAAGGCAGTAAATGAACATGAGGAAGACCTTAAATAATGAATAATTATACGTAGAAAAATAATAATAATTAAATAATACTATTCATTTATTACCACTTTTTTGCCACTCAACAGTATACATATAACACTGAGTTTCACCAAATATCCGATGTTTCACAATTAAGTTCATTAGAACTTTAATTTTTTGATGAAAAACTCTAGCGATAATGTCGTGTCTGTCTTGTGTAGTTTGACCATGTTTGAGTTCTCTTTTTATTTCCATCCAATTTGGATTACATGTAATTGTAATGAACAAATTTGGAGTCCCAAAATTACGAACGTAAGTCATGGCATCCATAGTTTTTTCGTGCATGTATCTAATAATTAATAGTATGTACAATATTTTAGATTGTTAAAATGAATATTACAGTACATTTTTCGTAGCAATTTTAAGTTATAAGATACAAAATATTTTATTACCTTGGACCTCCTGTAAATGAAGGTAAAATAAAAAGTTGTCCAATGTCATTCACTTGACCATCATTTTCTATAGCATCACGTAAATGAATATAATCTTCCGCTCTTAATTTTGATTGATTATTCCGTATAAATAAAAGTCGTTCTGATTCTATTTTGGCATACATATCAACCTTAAAAAAAAATTACATTCTTTTTGTATTATTATAATGTTTATACATATTTTTGATTAAGTTGAAAAAATATTGTTTACTTACCCAATATTTATTAATAAGTTTTCTATAATTATGTAAATGATTGTAGATATGATGCCTCACCATCAGTCTATAATGTTTTGAAGAAACAGTTTTATGACTATTGTATTCATTTAAATTAACATTAAATGACAAAATATCAATAGCATAACCATCTTCACCGTGTAGAAATATCAGTGGATATTCTAGAGAATCATAAGACCTTAAAAACACATAAGTAAAAGTTAAGAAAAAATGTACAGTGTATACACTTAAAAAGGAATTTACCTATGAGTTTCACTTATTCGTTGTAACTTTTCGTCTTTTCTAGATAAAATTATATCGCGATTTCCATATTCTTCTCCAATCATTACTACAGCCATTTTTACTTGAGATGGTGCATTAAATCTACCTCTATGTTGACCTTGAGGAACCATATTTGCATTTATGACTAATCGGTATTGATCAGTGGGCATAATATGATCCAATGCAGTTTTGAACTTAGTAATTAAAGGATTGATATTATGTAACAATAATTGCAAATCTCTTATAATATCTAAATGTATAAATATATAAATTAAAACGTTTTAAACAACAAATATATTATACAATACAATTACCTTTATTCAATCCACTGCAAATACCCATTCGCACATCAATTTGTTCCTCTTAGTCATCCATAAAATAAACTTGTAAATATTTATGATTTGTATTTGGTAAAGGCATCCACGACCCGGCTAAATGATACACTTGACCTCTTATTTTAAATGTAGGCATATCATTTTCGACAATAGTTTCTGCTGCTCCAAATGAGGTCAAATGAAATGCATTGTTATATTTATTAATATTTTCTAAAAAGTGTTCTGAAATACTTGTTGAACTTTCCAAAAGAGTTTTCATTGGTTCTGGTGGTTCATCGATATTAGGAATACGAACAGTTCCATTTAAACAACACATACACATACCAGCAGATTCTCCTTTAATTAAGAAAATAATATAAAATGTTTTCAAAATTCTAAAAATGTATACACTAATAAACTACCTTTGAATTTCATTGCATTGCAATATTGACAAATTACATCCATTACACCGATACAAACATCATCGTCGTCATAATATGGATGCTTAGAGGTTGATATAAATAGGCAGACCGGAATTTTACCCACTTGAACGGTATATCACCTAAAGTATATGCATTTCTAATAATAAATAGTAGTGAAACATAGGCGAAGTATAATAAACAGATATATTATTTAATAATGTATATATACCACATACCAAATAATGTGGGTTCAACATTTGGTCTTAACCTCTTACGCTGTGTAGTAAAAAACATATTGGTTTCAAAGCGACAATTGCACACTCTAAAGTTTTTATTATTCGTACGAATATTGTTTTCGCGTTCCAATAAATCGGTCCTGTTGCAACTATTAAGCCATTGTATTAACCTATAAAATATATTTAAATCATTAGGTGGGTACACTTTATAGAATTATTAATTACAATTATCAAGTATTAGGTGTTATTAAATACCTCCCTCCTCCATTTTGAATTGCATACGATGGAATTGCCTGAATGCAATTTGAACGAAGTTCACAATTATTATTATTATTATTATTGAAATAATATATTTAATTAACACTTGAGAAAAAAATTAGATCTGTTAGTAATGCTATACAACAAACGACTGAACGATTGGAGTTAGAAATGTCGATCTCTTCGATCGAATAAATAAGGGAGCGCGCATGCGTATTAAAAACTTTATTTATTATTTTTTTTTATTACCTTTGTACATTATTATAGGTCAACGATTATAAAATAAACAAAAAAAAGAAAAAGACATCGTTATCGGTGAATATATTATAAAAATAATTGGTAATTAGTTAATTATTATTATTATTATTTTTATGAGGGTTCAAAACCGGTTTCCTTCGTCTCCAAAATCAAGTTAGATTCTTATATATATAGATAACCAATAATTAATAAATTACCTTAAGCCAGTGGCGTCCGCAGGGGGGGTGGGGCTAACGGGCTGAAGTCCCCCCCCATTGCCCGTATTATTATTACTTTAAAAAAAAATATTAATCAAATTTAAACTGTCAACTATAGTAAGCAAGACTTAAATTTCATATATAACTTACCAGAATGAATTCATTTTTGAAAAAACATTGTATTTGCATACCAATTTTCATAAATTATCTGTAATTTTTCGGTAAAAGAATAAACTACTTGTACGAAAGACCTTGTATTAAATTGTCTAGCCATAGCTGTAAATATTTTATAGGTATATAAAATATTGTAAGTTTTGAACTACAAATTAACTGTGAAATGCAAAAAAAAACTTTAAAAACTTTTTAAAATCTTTAAATTCATATGTATCGTTAATATTTTAGCTATAATAAAAAAACTTACGTATTACATTTTTAAGCTTTTCGACAGGATAAATAATTTTTTATTGACATTTATAAAAAAAAAAATTTAATCAATCAAATACAACCCAAGTGAGGACGGTATAACCAACTACCAAGCGACTGTTACCAATCAATTTAAATAAGTTTTCATTTTTTTTCTCCAATTAGGTACTTTTAAAAGCACTGAGCAGATTCAATTTCGACCTCCTAAAAGTACCAACTAGATCCAATTTGCTTCTAAAAACATACACTGGGC